CATTGCATGTGGGTGTGTATTAATCTATCATTGCAAGTGTGTGTGTATTAGTCTATCATTGCATGTGTGTGTGTATTAGTCTATCATTGCATGTGGGTGTGTATTAGTCTGTAGTTGCATGTGGGTGTGTATTAGTCTGTAGTTGCATGTGGGTGTGTATTAGTCTGTAGTTGCATGTGGGTGTGTATTAGTCTGTAGTTGCATGTGGGTGTGTATTAGTCTATCATTGCATGTGTGTGTGTATTAGTCTATGATTGCATGTGTGTGTGTATCAGTCTATCATTGCATGTGGGTGTGTATTAGTCTGTAGTTGCATGTGTACTATATACTTGTCTGCATTTGCACGCATACTGTATATCAGTCTACACTTACTTTGATATAAAACTGGTTCGGGGCTGCACGCAGAAACCAAAACCTACATATTGCTCAAATAAAATTTGGCTCAGCTCGTGGCTTATTTGGTTTTGTTTTGATAGTCACTATTGTGCAGTTCGGTTTGGGGTTGCGAGTATTCTGACGCCGAATGTTCTCACCCGCTACACTCAAATAGTAAAGGAAGTTGGGTATATCTACGGTGATTGTACTTAAGGCACAACCCCCAGTCAGTGCAACTCCGTACTGTGCCACGCCGATATGTTCCACTACTTCTATGAGATACGATTTAAACTCCTCTCGACATACCAGACCCCCTTTATACTAGTTATAGCCGACACTCACGATTGCTTATGATATTTACAGCCGACCTCTATGATAATTTGTGAGATACGATCATACCTTCTCTCAACATATCGAGCTCCCTTCATACTCATCAAATAGATGGAGCGACATTGAACGATCTCCTATCCGCGGACGGCTGTCCTAATCTGGAGATCGTGCTAATGCAAACGTATGGCATTGATGTGCCGCTGGTCAGCAAGACGCTGCTGTCACTAGACGTGCACGCTGTGATGGTTGCGGATGCATTCAAGGACTGCCCTAACCTGACAACGTTGGTGTTCTTGTTGACTCATGAGAGGCTTAAAACAGAGGATGTCAGTAGTGCGTCGATCAAGCATCTGTCGTACCACAACTGGGGGGGAATGAAGGAAGTGAGCGCAAGGTAATGAAATGTTTATATATATATAAA